TGAGCCAACCATCAGCCAAATGAACAGACACCCAAACTGAGGTGACACTTGCTGGTGGGGCAGTGCCAGGAGCACCCAATCCCTGGTCTGTCCCTGCTGTTTGCAGGAACCCAGAGGGGATCAGGGAATTATTAAGGTTGGAAAAGCCCTCTGAGATCACCAAGCCCAACCATCCCCCAGCACTGCCCAGGCCACCAGTGCCCCATGTGCCCAAGTGCCACATCCACAGGGTTTCTAAATCTTTCCCAGGGATGGGGAGTCCCCCCCTGCCCTGGGCAGCTGTGCCAGGGCTGGACAGCCCTTCCCATGAAGGAATTTTTCCCAGTATCCAACCTGACCCTCCCCTGGCATAACTTGAGGCTGTTTCCACTCCTCCTGTCACTTGTTACCCAGCAGAAAAGACTGACCCCAAAGATTCTGTGATCTCCTCATCCTTGCTGGGAAAGCAAAACGTGACCTCACCAGTTGCAGCCACTGTGGGGGTGACTCATCTTGTCCCTGCCCCCCCACAAAGGGTCAGCTCTCGGCATTCCCTGCAGGAGCAGGGAACTTCCCACCTTCCTCGTGCTCTGAGGGACGTGGGGCACACAGAAGGATGCACAGATCTCCTCAAACCTGCCCACTGTGCCCTGGAATCCAGCTTAAAAAGGACCAGAATCACCCAGGAAACCAATGAGCTGCTGTCTGACCTACAGAGCCCCTTCTTTTCTGTGCCACCAGTGGCTCAGGGATCACAAACCCACCTTGGTTCCTCCTTGGCTCTGCAAGTCACCCCAGGGAGGTTTTTCCCCAGTGAGGGACAGAAAGGTTCTCAATTCCTGCTTCTCACTCACACAGGAGATTCTGCCCTGTCACCCACTCCAGAAACACTTCTTTCCCCAAAGCTCCACAGCCTTTTGCCTTGTCTGTGTGCACCTGACCACCAGATGTCAATGATTTTCACCTGCACTTGTCCAGCAGACCCCTGGAACCAGGGCATGAATTTTAGGAACAAAGGCAGCTTTTGATCTGCCAGAGCTCTCTGCAGGAGGCACCTGAAGCAGAACATGCTCCACCACCCTCCTCTGCAACCCCTGCCTGCCCAGAACCTGCAGCACACCAGAGGCAGCTCATCCATCCCAGAGCAGAAGGGAATCCTTCCAGTTCCCCCAGGTGAACTGAGAGCAAAGGCAGAGCCACACACAGCTCAGGGGCTGCCCAGAGGGAAGGAGCTCTCCTGGGCCTGGGAAGTGGGCAGGATTGCTCCTGCCAGCCCAGGATGGTGGCTGGAAGGGCTTTCAAGCCTGATTCAGCTCTGCTGAGCAGCTCTGGCTCAGCCAGGAGAGGTGCAGTGTATCAGGAGGCAGCTGACAGCAGCTGCCCACGTCCCTGGCTGAGGAAAGCCAGGGCTGATAGTCCCCCTGTGCCCTGGAGGGGCTGGTGGCTCCACTCTCCTGTGTCACAGTGATCTCCAGTGACAGATAGGAGAGGGAGGAGAGAATTTGTTCAGGCTTGTGCACTTTCAGGGGAAAAAATAAATTAGGATTCACATACTAAATATCAAGACAGCTGCCAAGGTCTCCAAGACACCCCAACCCTGTGTGGAGGAACAGCAGCTGTAAATAAAGCTGCCATCCTCTTAAGGTGTGAAATCAGTCTCTGGGGGAGCATCTCTGGACTAGCAGGGGGCTCTTCAGAGGGCAGGAGCCCCCAGAGCAGACCCCAGAGCCCAGACGTGGGGACCAACTCCCAGTTTCCTCCACACTCCTCAGGCTCCTCCAGGCTGTGTCCTCCCTGCACCCTTCCTACCCTCTGAATGCCATTTGGGATGGGAAATGGGGGCTTTTCTCCTTCCTCAGCACCTGTGTGATCACAGAAATGTTTCAGCCCAGAGGCCAAACCCCTGCATGTCCATCTTTTCCCCTCCCATCAAGCTGGACTCTTGCTGGCACCAGAGCACCTACACCTCTGGTCTCTACCTGCACAAATTCCTGCTTGGGCAGCTTTCCCACAGAGCCAAGCTGAACCCCTGGTGCTGCAGATGTGCCATTTTGGGCAGATTTCTCCCTGATGAGTGACAGAGCCCACACTGATGCTCACAGAAGCTCCTCAGGGGATGCAGGAGGTCAGATCCACCCCCCCCTCCATGGCAGGGGATCAGATCCTCCTCTGCCTTTCCCAGCTCGGAGCTATTTCAGGAAACTTGACCCCAAACTGAACTTTCTGCGACTGCAGCTCCACATTCCCAGTGGCAGCGACACTTCAAGGCAGTCATGAGCAATGTCAGCAGAACTCCAGGTGTCTGAGGCTGCTGTGACCTCAGAGCAAGGCACTGGGGGTCTTGGGATGTGTCCTGCTCCAAAACAACCAGCTGTTCTGGAGAAGGAGTCCTGGAACCTACTGGATTGCAAAGCCTTGCAGCCTGGTTTTCATAGATCTGTTGTCCTGGAACCCCAGAACGGTTTAGGTTGGACAGGACCTCAAATCCCATCTTATTCTGACCCTGCCATGGGCAGGACACCTCCCACTGGAAGGAAGAACCATTCCCAGCAGTATTTTTCCTGGCACTCACAGTTCCACACGGCCCCTGCCCAGGTACTTCCCTCCTTTGTGTCATGACTGAACACCTGTACTTATGTAAATAGAATCCCCTTATGAAAACAACCCCCTGCTTGTGAACACAGCAAATGAAACCTGTGGAGACTCCAATGCTGCTTTTACCTCCAGCCACAGGATCTATCAACGGGAAGCAGGACACAAAATGCTGCTCCAGCCTGTTCCTCAGTGCTGTTTGAGCCCCTGAGACCCATTTCAAAGCTGTTCAGCTAAAAAACCAGAGCTGTATTTCATCCTCCCTTCCCACCTCTGTGCCAAACACCATTTACTAAAAGCTGGTGTTCAGCTCCATTTCTTCCAGTCCCTGCATGCAGCACGTGTGATCCTGGAATCACACACTGGATTGGAAGGGGTCCTAAAGCCCCTCCAGTGCCACCCCTGCCATGGGCAGGGACACCTTCCACTAGTCCCAGGGTGCTCCAGCCCGGCCTTGGACACTTCCAGGGATCCAGGGGCAGCCACAGCTTCTCTGCCCAACCTGTGCCAGGGCCTGCCCACCCTCCCAGCCAGCAATTCCTTCCCACTATCCCATCTCTCCCTGCCCTCTGGCAGTGGGAAGCCATTCCCTGTGTCCTGTCCCTCCAGCCCTTGTCCAAAGTTCTCTTGGAGCCCCTCAAGGTACAAAGTCACTCTGTTCCTCATCTCTTTGGCCTCACATCTTTCCCAATCTCTCCCAAGCTCTGCCCCAGCTGGAGCCCAAGCCCTGGTCACACCTGCATTCCATGGGGCAGCATCCTGGGACGTGCAGGTGCAATGGGATGTCCTGGCAATGCCCACACCACTCCCCCCTGCCCTGCAGCAAGTCAGGGATAAAAACTGCAGAGGAGTTTCCAGCTGGGAACAGGGACAGCAGCTCTTTGACACCTGAAAACAAACAATTCAACAAACAAAAGCAAAATCCCGGTGCCACTGCCCCCAGTCCCCGTGCTGCCACAGCCAGGGACAGCAGAACAGGTCCTTCCTCACCACTTCCCCTCTGGTTCTTAAAAAAAAAGCAAGTTAAAGTGCCAGCCCAATGGATGCCTGCGGGGTTTGGAGCCCAGGGGCACCTGGAAAAGCGGTGGCAACACCAGCAATGCCCAAGGGGGGCAGGAGGAGAGAGTTTCCTGCAGCCCCTCCGCCTCTTCCCAGCTCCAGCTCCGCAGTGGGAAGGAGGAGAGAGGAAATTCAGCCTCAGGGGTCGGTGCTGACGGGAAATTGCGGCTGAAATCACGAGGCAAAGTTTACCGTGGGAGAACAGGAGTTGCTTCAGAAGCTTCAACCAAAATGTTATTTCCACCTCAAGGGAAACCCTTGTGCTTTCCTGCATGGAAGTTACCTAACACCTGGCTTTATAAATAGCACTGGGCTGCTTTAGGGGGTTAGGTTTGTTTGTCTCGCTCCAGCTTTTTATTCTGTCTTTCCTTTCAGGGCAGGGCTCTGCTTTTGGGGGCTTTAAAAAGGACAAGACTGAGTGGGACCCATCCAGGGGAGCATCCTCAGGAAATTGTGGCATTTCAGAACAACAAAACCAACAAAAAACCCAACCAAACCAAACCAAACAAATTAAATTAAATAATAATAATAAAAACAAACAAACAAAAAACAAACAAACAAACCAAACCAAAACAAACAAAAAGAGGGAAAAGAACACTTTGAAATGTTTTCTTTGAAATTCTGTCCCATGTTTGCCCCGTGGCAATGGGAGCTTTGAGCACTGGCTTCAATGAGAAGGGGATTTCAGGTTTTAAAAGGCAGAATTTGGGCTATTAAAGCCCTGGTGCCACACACGAGGTTTGTACCCGCTGCAGCAAAGCTCCTTTTCTGATGAATGAAGTGCAGGAGGATTTATTGAGACAAGGGCTGGAGCTCTTGGCTGAACTGCCTGGATTGCTCCTGGCTGGAGCTCCAAGTGCCAGGATCCCTGTCAAGCTGCTGCCAAAGGCCAGGAGGTGGGGGATTGATGGGACCACTGGGATGGCACTGACAGGGCTGCTTGGAAAGGAGCAGATGGAGCTCCACGGGGTACACTGAGGGGTTCTCACGGAGCTCTGCACGGGTTTGAGGGCAGCAAAGTCCTACAGCAAGCAGAGGAACACACAGGAAGGACTTCCTGAGCAGGAGGGATTCCCACATGGGTTTTAGAAGGCTGAACCAGATGTGCAGATGTATAATTTGTTAGGTGAAACAGCATCAGACAAAAACATTTATAATAAAGAAAAAATAATGGCGTTACTGATACAAAAATTGCTTTGCAGGGTGCAAACTCAACCTGTTCTTGCTCTTTGGTTGTGCTACTTAAAATATGGTGTTGACTTGAACATCCCTGGAAGTGTCCAAGGCCAGGTTGGACAGGGCTTGGAGCACCCTGGGCTGGTGGAAGGTGTCCCTACCCATGGCAGGGGTGGCACTGGATGGGCTTTGAGGTCCTTCCAACCCAAACCATTCCCTGATGACTTCTGGGGTATGAGAACTGCTCAGGAGCACAGAGAGATGGTCCATCCCCTGGGTGACACTCACAGCCCATGCCCAGTCCACGCTGAAATCCCCAGGGAATTGTTGCTGTAAAAACTGAGGCTGTTGCAGTGACTGATCAGCCACTTTGAATGGTGGATTCACAGCAGGGAGTAACAACATTGATGTAAATAATTTATCACCCAAGGATTTTATTACAGCTATAAAACACCCTCCATTGTGAAGGCTCCAAGTGTGTGGATTTTGGAGGGCCCTTTAGCAGGAATCCTTTAGCTGGGATCCCCAGACCCCTCATCCCTGAGCAAGGACAGAGCTGGGAGCTGGAGCAGCACTGTGGGATGAACTCAGAGGGCTTTTCCCACCTAAACCACGCTGTGACTCCACCTCCTGCCAGAGGAAACCAGCCCTGAGCAGAGAAACCTTCCCAGGGCACAGGGAGCCCATCCCACAGACCCTCAGAGCCTGCAGGTCCCTCTGGGCCCACGGTCAGCTCAACTCTGCCAGCCCAGGGCTCACCTGGCTCACCCTGAATTCCCTGGAGAGACACAGAATTCCTGCTGTGACACAGGAATTCCAGCTGCAGGAGGAACCCAAAGCAGGAACCAAGAAGGATGTGCTTCCCAGAAAGCACAGAGCTGGAATTCTACAGTGCCAGGCTCAGATTCTGAAGATGTGAGAAAACAGAAAGTGATTTCCTTCTCTGTTTATTCTGGTTAAGTGTTTGGTTTCATTAACATCCAATTTCTCTTACCCAATCATCCCTCCACGCATTTCTCACAACAGCAGGAATGTCACTCTGTAAATTAGGCAATTTTTCACCCTCCTGGCTCTTGAAATGCCCAAGTTTTGTCTGGAATCCCTTTCTGAGGGGACAACTCTCCTTCTCCTCTTTATAAAATGGCTCCATGGGAAATATTTCTATTTTGACACTTGAGCTCTGATGGCTGAGCCTTAGGGTTCGTTTTTAATTGGGGCAATTTTTTCCATACTCTAAATCCAGTGTAAAATCCATTCATTTGTCAAGGGAAAATAATGCCCTAATACATCTCATTAATTTCCTATTATGTGAGTTCTCTGGCACGGACAAAACTTTATTAGAGAAACAGCATTTAGTTCCTTCTATATTTTGTATTAAAATAAAAACAAATGTGAAGGAAGTGTTTGAATTCCCACACTGGAATTCTGCATAACTGTGGGGGTTTGGCAAGAGGTCTTTGGGCAAAGCTTTTAAACACAATCTTACTAAAAATCCACCCATCCAAGCAACTTCAAGTAAAAACCAATGTTGGTGAGAAAAAAAATTCTTCAGTTGACCTCAGTAAAATAACTTCCCATTCAGGAACAGTTTCCTTCTTATCCCAATATTTAACAACTGTCTTGTTCAATGGGGTTAATGAACCTTCAGAAACTGGGTTTAAATATCATCAGTTCTTTTAATCCTCTGAATTCTGAACCTCCTGCAGCAGCTCCTCATCTAATGGAAGCTGATGCTCTGCAGTGCTGAGCAAACACCTCCAATTCCTCATTTCTTAACCATTTTTTTCCCTTCTACACAAGGTTTGAGGTTGTGGTTCCAAGATCATTGCCACTGGATTGCAGAATCATGGAATCATGGAATGGTTTGGGTTGGGAGGACCTCAAAGCCCCTCCAGTGCCACCCCTGCCATGGGCAGGGACACCTTCCACCAGCCCAGAGTGCTCCAAGCCCCATCCAACCTGGCCTGGGACACTCCCAGGGATGGGGATTCCAAAGCCTCTCTCACTGCTACAGATATTGATGTTCTCATGCTTTAAAAAGACAAAGAAAGAAGGAAAGCAGGCTGACTTCGAGGTGTTTGCAGCAGGGGAGCAGAGGGCTGGGAACGCTGCCCTCCATCCCGGCACAGCACCCGGCACAGGGATGGAGGGAATGTGCCCAGGGCAGGGATAATCACACTGCCAGCACTGCAGGTTTCTCCTGCAGAGAGAGGGGAGAGGTCACAGCGAGTAAAATCCCAGCAGAGGGGCAGGATCTTTGTGCTCACACATCACAAAAAGCGCGTTAAAGCAATTTACAGTCCCTGCCAGGGCAGGGCTGGGAACAGGACTCAGTGGACTCCTGGATTCCAATGCAGGGGTAAATCCCTGCTCCACAGATAATGAGGGTTCTTTTCCAGCCTGTAGCTCACTGTGCAAGATCCACTTTTTCCTACAGTGTGGTATTTTTATGGAGTTGGGCTGGGAGAGCTGGGGGGTTTCCCCTGGAGAAGAGAAGGCTCCAGGGACACCTGAGAGCCCCTTGCAGGGCCTAAAGGGGCTCCAGGAGAGCTGGAGAGGGACTGGGGACAAGGCATGGAGGGACAGGATAAGGGGTAATGGATTTAAGATGGAAAATGGGAGATTTAGATGGGATATTGGGAAGGAATTGCTGGCTGGGAGGGTGGGCAGGCCCTGGCACAGGTTGCCCAGAGAAGCTGTGGCTGCCCCTGGATCCCTGGAAGTGTCCAAGGCCAGGTTGGAGCACCCTGGGCTGGTGGAAGGTGTCCCTACCCATGGCAGGGGTGGCACTGGATGGGCTTTAAGGTCCCTCCAACCCAAACCATCTTGGGATTCTGTGAGTTAGATACGGGAATTAGGGCCTGGGTGACAAACACCAGCCTTAGTCCTCACTAGTCACTAGAAAATACAACTTCTAATTTGTTTTGAAGCATCAAGTAATTATATAATTACATCACACAGTGCACAAAGCCAAAAATAACTCAACACATTCCATCTACCTGTTTGAAACTCATTTAAATCTGCATGTTTAAAACTCATTTCCCTCATTTTCCTATTACAGCTCTTTAGGAACAAAAGGACCAAGTTCAACCCAGCCACCCACACAGAACCACAGAAAACCCCCGGCACTGCATCAAGGTTTGGAGGTCATTTAAATTGGTTTTGATTTACAGCCTCGTTGCACATTAACCGAGATTTATTTTGCATTGCAGAGCAGAACTGAAGCTCCTGAACACAGTGGAAGTTCAGGTAGAGGCAAATAAATAAACACACAAACAAACAAAGCCCCCAAACGCATCCAGCACAGTGTCCCAGGTGTTCACAGACACAGCACTGAGCAGTGGAATTCTGTGCAACAGGAGGGGAAAGTTTCCTTAAAGACCAGTCTTTAATCCCAGCCAAGGTCTCTGACTTTCCCAGGCTCTGCTGCCCGTGTTAATATTTCTGTGCCTGCTTAATTTGTGCTAAAAACCAGGAACTCAGTTAATTTTCCTTCCTGGATCCTGATGCACAGGGTACATTTATACCCTGTAATATATATGGTGGCTTGGCCATCGCTATTTTTAGCCACTGTTTTTTAAAAATACCTTCAGCCTCTCACAGTTTTAAGATGCAGCATTTTAATGTCATGTATTCACTAAAGAATTTCTGAGGGGCAGAGGTTGCTGCTCCTCAAAATAAAAAATGTCCCTCCTCTTCCACAAAATAATGGAAAAACACTCTTAAAAGTCGATTTTTGTGCAGGGACCACGGATTGACAATTACCCAGAAGGAATCAGAGTTGGGACTTCCCACGCCACCCCTCTGGGCTGGATTGGAGCCCTTGTCCTTGAGGTGCTCCTGAGAATCAGTTATTCCTTGGAAAATCTCCCTTCCCTGCCAGCTGGGCAGGCAGAAATGTTTCCCTGCAGTGGGATACCTGGGGCAAGGGCTCGAGCAGTGATGTAAATCTTGCAGCACTCTAATTAAAAGCACATAACTATTGCCAGGGCCTGCCACGGACCTGTCACAGCACTGGCAAGTGGAAGATGAACGGCCTGGGAGCTCTTTCTCCCAGGGAGATTCATGGCAGGTCCTCCTCATTGTCCTGTCACTTTGCCACAGCCACTGGCCAGAGAATTACACACCAATCTGAAGCCCAGAAAAGACAGTAGATCATCCACTCTGAGCACTTCTGGAGCACAATACATGAAATTTATCCTGCAGAGAGCCCAAGTTCTGACTCCAGCACACCCTCCTGGGCTCTTTGGCAAGGAATTCACTCCTTTTACCAGATTTTATCATTATTTTTGCAGGTGACCCACCCATGACCCTTTTGTTCATTTGCATATTAAACCTTGATCAGGCTTTAAAATTTATCCAGTATTGCAAACTAATTTTTTTTACTTATCTTATTAGTTAATGGTAAAATCCCAGACTGGCTTGGGTTGGAAGGGACTATAAAAACCCCCTTCCATGGGCAGGGACAGCTTCCACCAGCCCAGGGTGCTCCAACCTGACCTTGGACACTTCCAGGGATCCAGGGGCAGCCACAGCTTCTCTGGGAATTCCATTCCAGCCCCTCCCCACCCTCCCAGCCAGCAATTCCTTCCCAATCTCCCATCTCTCCCTGCCCTCTGGCAGTGGGAAGCCATTCCCTGTGTCCTGTCCCTCCATCCTTGTCCCCAGTCCCTCTCCAGCTCTCCTGGAGCCCCTTTAGGCCCTGCAAGGTGCTCTCAGGCCTCTTGGCACCCAAAATCTATCAACTAATAAATCAAAATTCCCCTCAATCAATTGCTTTAGGTCACCCCTGCTCCTGATGATTTAATCCTGTGTTTTATCTGTAGGTCTTGTGTAGAATTTGTTGCCCTGCACAGGACAATCACTTCCCACGAAATGAGCACATCTGCTCCTCTCCAAGCAAAGCCCAGGAGCAGCTCATACTCATCAGCACTTATCACCTTCCCTGCCCCAGCTGGGAACAAGACAACTCCACTCTAAGGATTTCCTTCCCTTTGGAGCACAGGGAGCCAACCAAGGGTTGTTGGGAATAACACACAGGGAGGAGGAGCAGGATGGGGCTGGAGAAGGGGTCACATGAAGGGAGGGCAGCACTTGTGGGCCAAACCCCCTTGCTCTGGCTCCTGGAGATCAGCACAGCCCAGAGCAGGGGCAGGGATGAGGTGGAGAAGTGGGAATGGACCCTGGGGGGATCAGGACCACCCAAGACCCCAAAGC